TTTTGATTTTTAATTAATTTTTAAGACAAATTATTACTTAAAACAAATTTAGAACTTAATTTATTTAATTAAAACAAAATTCCCAGTTTTGATTATTCCAACTTGGTCAACTGGTTTTATACAAAATTTTCTCATCACCGGTCGGATAGAAAGACTTGTATCCGCCCGGCTACGCACCGCCCTTCCCTAACCTAGGGTTAGGGTTTTACCCTAATTAGGGTTTCCCCCAATTAGGGTTTTAGGGTTTTGCGCGCTACCGCACGCCACCACGTCCAACTTCTCGAGGCATAAAATTTTCCGTCGGTTTGTAGTCAATCAAAAGCCGGGTTCCCTCGGATCACTTTTGCCGCAGACTTCTGTTTCCTTTTTATTTTTATAAAAATACAAAGAAAATCACTAGTTCCTTTTAATTTTCCCCTCTTTTCCTGTCTGTTGGCGGTCACCACTCGTCCAAACGGAGTCCGTTTTCCTCGACTAGGGTCTCAAAATGTCGGAAAAAATACAAGGACCAACTTTGGTCCGGGCGGGGTTCACCTAATTTCGCTCCCTTTCTTCATAATTAAAATAAAAAGAAATTCACGATTTTCGGAATTTTAATTAAAAAAATACAATAATTTTCATCTCCTTTTCTAGCTATTAAAATTTTTTAAAAAAAATGTCTCAAAACGTTCCCCTCGACGAGAGGTCGAACTTTGCTCCCGGCGCGCCTCGCGCAAAAACGCGCGAATCGGGAGATATCGAAAAAAAACGAATTAAATATTCAAACTCATGATTTTTGGGATTTTTAATTAAAAAATACAAAAAAATTCATATCTCTTTTTCTAGCCGTTAAAATTTCTCAAAAAACGTGTCAAAACGTTCGCCTCGACGAGAGGTCGAACTTTGCTCCCAGTGCACCTCGCGCAAAAACGCGCGAATCGGGAGATATCGAAAAAAAACAAAATACAGAATTACAGAAAAATTAAAAACAATCAGCTAATCAACTTTTTTTTTTTTTAAAAAGCTAATTAGTTTCACTTTCGCACCCCCATTGATTGGGGAAGGCCGTGGCCATGGGGCTGCAGTCCCCTCCCCGGCAACGGCGCCAAAGTTGTCAGGAAACCCCGAGAGGGGCGCCCGCTTGTCGCTGAAGCCAAGGGCAACGGCTCCTGTCACTCGCCGCGCCCGCGTCCGAGATCCTCAGCGACCAGCAGGGATCTAGTTTGGGGTTGGCGGTCACGCACCGTTAGCAAGTTCCTACAGCAGTGAGTTTTAACAGTCAATTAGTGAACCAACTTTGTCACACAGCGATGTATTCGCTATTTGCTCTTTTCGCGGGGAAGGCTGGTCTAATCATCAGTGACAATAGTTGTTTACTCACCTGTAGGCACGGCTAATCTGATCATCAGCAATAATGGTTGATTGCTCACTTGTAGAAAAACCTCTCTCTCTCTCTCTCTCTCTCTCTCTCTCTCTCTCTCTCTCTCTCTCTCTCTCTCTC